AAACTGACGTACGTTTCACAGATGCTTTCTGCTTCCATCGTCAGGGCGACTACACTCACGTCTTCTGGTGTTGTTTTGTGCAGCTTTGAACCAATTTTTAGCACTTTGTGGGGCCGCGAAGGTAATTCAGAAATGTTTTGAAACGCTGTCTCCGCGCAAAACACCGACGTTGCGCGGTCGCAGGCCACAGCAGCAAAGAGCTTTCATTGCCCTAAGATCGTAACAACATGGCCACCGGACGTCGTGGTCGAGTGTTTAGCTCCGGGTTCAAGTCTCGGCCCCGGGGAAGGGGTGTCGTGGTCGTGGGTTTTCTCAGTCCCTTCACGTAGGCCAAGACCGCTTCCTTCCTCATCCTTCCTAATTCATTATTCACCATTCGAGCTACTGAAATAGCTATAAATTATATAACGAGACAGTGACGCCACATAATTCAGGGTTCAGCGAGGTTCCCACGGTGGGCCCTGAGGTCAGTGGATGCGCGCGCACTTTCCTCTGTGGTTCCGAGTCAGACGGAAGGTCTCTCTGGTCCGCTCGGGACTCAGGCCACAAGCACGCCGAGGTCACCATTGACGTCAATAGCCAGCAAGATCACGTGACGTTATTCATGTGCCTTGGTTCGCACACTGGGTCTTTCTTTCAGACTGGCCGCGCTCCAGCAGAGCGTGCAGGCCTCAGGGCGTCATTAAAGTTACAATTGTGTTTGGGAAATCGTTGGCGCGTTGTTTCTTACGTCGTTCCACTTTTTGATGTGACATCGGTTTCCGGAAACTCGTTCGACTTGAAGGAGCCGAAATGTAAAATCTTGTCTTCGCTTTGGTTCCGCCGGTGGCCCGAGACTGAGGCCGGTGGCGAGAATGCTAAGCTCTGGGTTGCGAATAGTTTGGCGGCGCACTTTTCAGTTGTCGCAGACCTGCGGTTCCTTTCAAAATTCCTCGAAGTTGCAGGCGACTGAAGAGCTTCGTCGTCACTCGCTCGACTGCGTTCTTTGTTGTGCAATTAATTTGTCTTATTTGTCCGATACGAATTTTGTATACTTTTACCTTCCGTTTAATAAGTTTTAATACAGGTCAGAAATGAACATCAAAGCCCCGTTAATAGATTCAGGAAATAAAATTAAGTGTCGTGGTGGAGTGGTTAGCACTCCTGCTTCATATTCGTGTGTGTGTGGGGGGGGGGGTCCCGGGTTTACATCTCGGCCCGGAGATCGGATATCTTGACGTTGTTTTGCTCAGTCCGACCAGGATAATGCATTAAAGTAGGCCACGACCGCTTCCTTCCACATCGTTTCCAATTCATCATCCTCCCTTTCGTCGCTGTGTACCCTGAGGTGCTGAAAAATCGTAATTAGATAAATTATAAATAAGTAATAAATCGAATTTCAACCGAGGACGTAAGTACAAAAGCTCTGTATTACGAGTCTTTCGTTCTGTAGAAGCCGAGAGCTTTGCGCTGATGGTGAGAGGTGACAGGGACGCGGCTTTAGATTACATTCCGTCGCAAACAAGGAATTGGGATGTCGCACGCTGTTACGTGCTCACGGCCACGAACGTAGGAAGTGAATTAATGTTGGCATTAGTGGTTGTGCGCGTGTTGTTTTGTTCGGAAACTGCCGTCGACCCGCCAGCTTTCCAGAAAAATGGACGTCACAACACGCACGTAGCACTTCTTGTTATTCCTCCGAAACGTCGGTATCTACCGGAGCACACTGACATTGTGTAGGCCGCGTAGTCTGGTAGAAATTGACCGACGTTTCGCAGGTGCTAAATGTCTCCATCATCAGGGCGATGACATTTTTTACCAGACTATGCGGCGTGAGAATTTAAAATCTCACCTGAGAGCCTGTCTGTGTCCGATAACCGCTGGGTGGATTTTTAATCACCGCTGCATGAAGATGAGTTTTTGATTCTTGCGCTCGGTCTGGTGGCGCTGATGAAGCGTTCCTCTGGGGCTGGGAATTTTAACATTTGTGCCGGCTTAGTTGAGCTTGCAGGACACTGTGCGTTGCGCAAGTCGTGTTTTGAGAGAGGGGCGTGGTATTGGCAGGGTAATGAACACTTGGCGTTGCATTAGGCGCGCGCTCAGGCAAGTGAATTTGCTCTGGAACAGCTCGCAGTCAACTCATCAATCAAGCTGTTGGACTGTTGGATTCTTCTCTGCCCTGAGTCAGTGGACTAACCCGCATAACAGTAGTGGCAGAGAAGTCGCCTAACTCGTGGGAGTAACAGGGACGCAGTTGCCTTTTCTCCTTTCCCGGTTGATAAGCTGATGGTTGCTGAGGTAGCCAATAAATTCCTGGCCTTTTATAGAACCCGATGGTTCATTGCCGTGTTGACTGAAGCCCGGATCAATCAAGTACACATTCCCTCACCCTGTGTCTTTAAGATATATTTTTAATATTATCCTCATGGTTTTTCGGCGTTGTCTTTTATCGCTCTTGTGAGTGCTGCAAGCCCTCCCCATCTCAGCCTCCTCGTTTAATATTTTCTCCGTTCTGTCCTTCAGGGCCAGATGCCCCTAGCGCCCCGTTCTCCCGTACCCGGAGGCTGCGCCCTTCCTTCTCACGAACAGAGACGAAATTCCACACACGTGCGTTTTAATATTTGTGTTTTGACAGCAGACGAAAGAGATTCTGAACGTTTTTATTTTAGGCATTCCCCGAATTTGACTTGCTCTGAATTTCTAAGGCGACTTGTAATTTTGATTTGTCGCTCGAATATTTTAGAATTCCGGAAGGAGTAACGATCTGTGATGATGGCCCAGTTCGGTGCATTTTGTGTTCGTTCTCACCCACGGCACTGACGTCATAAGACTTTCACCGGCGTCATCCTAACTGTTTCTTACAACCGGGGCTAGCCTCGGAGGGCGTTTCAGGTCATCGTCCTTAGTGACACAGGTTGCCTCCCTAGAATTTCTTCTGATGTATTCTGGGGCACAGAGTTCAGTGCCCGTGTGTTCGTGGGAGCTGATTTCTATGCAGCGCAGTGACCTCGTTTGATCCCAGGCTCGCGGCGACAAGCCGTTTCTTGATCTTTCAGAATCTCGCGTTGTCAGACGGGGAGATGCGATCGCGAGACACTACAGCATCTTTCCGTAGTTTCATAAGAGCCTAATACACAGCCCCACAGACTAGGATATTCCTTCTTCGCCCGGACATCCAAATTGGCGTCTTGCCTTCAGTTTTTGTGTGCGTTGCCCATCTCGTCCTTGAATTTCTCACACAGTACAAATTACGGGGCTCCTCGTCTCCGTCCTTCTCCGCCTTTCCATGACCCCAAGGTCTTCGTTGAGGGCAGTTAAACCAAGCGTCACGCCAGCTCAAAACACCAGACAGGGCAGAGACTTGCCAACTAAATATAACTCTCGCTGCCTACTTGCAGTTGCCGAGACAGGTTGAGTGAGTGCGAGCGACCACTGACAGAAAAGCCCCTTCGGTGTTTGTTTGTGAGCCGCTGAAGTCATCAAACGAGTGGCAGATGAGACAATTAGCACCTGTTGCTCATTTAAGCCTGTGATGGCTTCGGCCTTCGGGCAGACCCGCATTACTAATTATGCGGCGAATGGAAATATACCAGGAGATTCCGGGCAGGCTGCGTGCGTTTTACGACATTCTGTCTCAGTTCCCTCGCACATGGAAAGAAGCGGTGTTTAAACCTGGAGCTCGAGTGGAGGGTGCGAAATA